CTTTTTACTCGATGTCCTTCTTTTATTATTTGTCTTCTTCCTCTTCATGGGACCTGCTCCGTGATTTTTTAATCGAGTAAGATCTATTTACTCCGCATTAAAATTTTAGAGCCTTAGGAGTAAATGTTATTTTGTGACAAATAAAAAAAAATGCAGTCCCATTTAGAATTTAACTGAAAAGTATTACGAAGTCGAGAAAAAGAGAAAAAGCTGTTAAAAAATTCATAAGTGAATAAAGATAATATAGTTTATTTTAAAAGGTATAGTGGTAGTTTGTACGGAGTTGGGGAAACGGAACTAATTTAGCTACTAAGAAAGATAATATAGTTACAATACAAATACTATAGGTATAGCATCAGAATGCAGTTAGAACTTAAAATCTTGTCCTAGGGCCACAATGGAGAGGATTTTAAACTTCACATTTAATGATAGGATAGAGAACGTGACAAAAAAGGCAATATATAGAATGATCAGGAACGGAATAATCAGACGGAAGTCGATTATCTCCAGAAACGAAGATACCTAGTATATGCCTCAGGATGAAGTGGAGAAAAACTTAAAAACCACGGAAACAAAGAATGGAGCCAAGAATCAATCGTCTTTGCGACCAAAAAGCATGTAATTTAGTGGTACACCACAGAAGAAATTGGAACAGGAGTGTGTGGAAGGTTTAATAGTTATTATCCCATCATAAATAAACATTGGAAATGTGTATACAAGATTGTAGATGAAGCAAGTAAGCTAGTTGTGTATATAAAAATTAAAAATGTTATAACGAATGAAGTATCAATATCAATAATAATCGTTGAGCTTAATCTTTGTCTTTAGGATTGCCACGTAATAGCAAGGTATCAAAGTACACTTGGACTAGTAGAAAATAGTGAGTTCATGTTCTGTGAAGAAGATGACGTAACCTCCATTCACGTTCAGATTGAATATGTGGCATTACAGAATCCAAGAGAGCACTCCAACTTATAAACTTCCGTATGAATATAGGGTTGGAATGATCGTTGTAAACGTCGAGATTATTCCCTTTGTTACCCTGCATCCTGCAGCAGCCTGCGGTTGTTATAGGAAACGTACGAATACAAAAAGAAGAACAATGTCACCCATCACCCTACAGTATGCTGGGGTCGTCATAAGTAAAAGTACGAGTAAAAGAAGAAGATAGAATAGTCCAGAAATGTCTAAAAATGTAATTTCTTGTCAAGAAAAATCCGGATATTTCAAGAAGGTTCTAGAAGGTTAAGGCGAGCTATATAAGTCGATGATCCTGATGTCAGAAGTTCAGTTTTATGATAGACATTGTACGTTTATGTTATCAGTAGAATATTTGAGTTGGTAAAAGTTGAGTTGAAATAAATTGAGTTCCAAAAACCAGCGTAACACCTTGTTGCCTTAGCGACACATCTTTTAAGTCGCAGTGTATCTGCAAAACAAATCCAAGTAAAACAATTTTTTTATTCCGCCCAGGTACCATTTGCTCGATGATCACGTGACCAAAAAATCTACTCGTGTTCTATTTCCGAGTGTATTTCCTTACCTCCTTAGCGACAGTAGAGGGTACAATATATAGTTTAGGTCACAGTATATTTGATACCCCATAACATAATATAGATACATAGTTTAAAAACGGTTCGTTAAATTTCGGAATAGAGAATAACTCTCTCCTTCAAACCATATATAGTGATTCTAACTATGCAGGTATACATTTCAGAAGATCAGGGTTTCCTAACAAACAATAAAATGGTGGCACGTTGTTGACCCTTCAACGAATGTGATGGGCAAAGTAACTTGTAACTGTAAACTCATTATGACCCTTTTGAAATTTGTAATTAACTGCCCGTTAACTTTAATTTTTCGATGGGCCGTTGATGGTTTGTTAACTGTTTCCCACATTCAATTGTAAAATCATTATAGCCCGTTTGAAATTTATAATTAACTGCCATTTAACTTTAATTATTTGATGAGCCGTTGACGGCTTTTTAACTGTTTCCCATATTCAACTGTAAAAGCATGGTAAAAGTCAAAAGGCTTTTAACTGCCGCAAACCTAGCCCCAACAGTCCAGGAGGGCTCTGTCCCGCGTTCATAGATGGAGACACCGATGATCCCTTGCTACATACTCAACCAGTGGACATGTACTATGTAGCCAGTCTCGAATCCTCACATTGCCGGTATTCACTATTCAGTATTCATTGTAATTTTTTACTAGTTACATGAGTCGTTAATTTAGAATATATTATAAATATAGTTTTTGTAGACGACATACGTGGTACAGTTTCTTTAAAAGCTCGGCATTATTTTTATAACAGCCTTATGCAAGCCCTTTGATGGGAAGTTAACATATATTTTATGGGAAACTGCTGGTCATGTGTAGGCCTTTCACTACTTATGTCTGGTAAAGTTATGTCCCTTATGCAAGAAGGATAGTTAACATTAATGTTATGGGAAACTGCTGACCATATGCAGGCCTTTTACTACTTATTGCTGGCAAGGTGATGACGGCCTTCTGCTGCTCGTTGCAGACCCCTATCGAAAGGTTACTACTTGAAGTAACGTACATACGTTTAAAGGCCTGTCGCTTTAAAGCCTACCCTGTGCTTTGTTTACACCTTGCCCGCGGTATGAAGTCTAGCGCGCTGGCAATATAGAGACAAACCTACCTCTTCGAGAAACTACCAAAGTGATCCCTTTGCGGCGTATGAGTTATAAAGAGACAGTTCTCGATTGTTGTGGAAAGCCGAGAATATTCTCGTACAGAGTTGGCTTTGTACAAATAGCGCGAGTTCATCGACGGGCGGGGAGATTGAATTTAAGTATTGGACAGAAAAGATAAATTGTAACAAATAAATTAGAATTGTGAGTTATAATAGTGCCTAAGTATTATATAAATTAATACGTCACAAATAAATTGTAAATAGTGTGTTTTAAATAAATAAACTATAAATAAATTAAACTATCGTCACAGCCGTTAACTTGCCAAAACAAAATGTTTGTTGGAATTGTTTCTATTTTAATTTCAGTAGCACTTACCTTGTTTATATATTATTTAAATATTATAGCATCTCTTTTATGTATTCGCTTTATACAGTGTGATTCACTTAAGATGGAGTCACCTCTATAAAATACAGACCATCAAAAAGAATACCGTGACACATATTTGCGTATATTGACATTAATTTCAAGGGATCCTATAATTTTCGTTCATGCCAACTAAAACCAGGGGCTGGTAACTCAAATGGAAAAACATGAGGAAGGTAATTTAGTATCACTCCAATTAACGGGATGGCGCTCGTATCGAAATGTCATGTCAGTTGTCAGCTCGTCAAAATTTCAAACTAAGAAATTAAAATGGCTATTGCATTTGAAGGTGTACTGAATTTTGATTCATCTAGAATCTAGATTTATTTTTCAACACCTTCCAATTTTAAGCATGTTTTCAAAAGTTGGGAAGGTGGATTTCAGCAACAAACAATAAAGCACTCCCAGATATTGGTAGTGATGCAATTTATACCACATTAAATATTAAATATGCAGCCGTCATATTTAAGGATAACCAAATAATTTGTAATAAGTGTCTTAAGAAAAATGCACCGTCACTATTTGGCACCACCGCTAAGTAATATTTACAAACTTGTTTTTGATTCAGTGTTAAAATAATTGGTTTGTTATTTAAATTTCTTTTTGTTTTCAGTTTTTAAATGATCATTTTGTAAAGAAAATGTTAGCACTCCAAAGTACCCTGTCGATCGATGAAATTTTTGAGCCTCAGCCATCAATATCAAAAATTGATTCAATGCCATTCACATCAAACAAGAAAACACCCTAAAATCTTCAAGGGTCCAAAGTGTAAGTTTAATTTATGCTCAAAAGTTAAATTTATTTATCAAAGTGCCCAAATGATGAATAAAAATTTGATAACTACAAGTGCTGTATAAATGAATCAAGAAAACAATTATCGGATGAAGAAATGCTCCTCAACCTAAGTAGTCGACTCAATAACCGTATGGCAAATTTTATCCACAGTCAAATTTGACTCGATAGTAAAAAAGGATGATGCTTCAACTTTAATTTTTTGCCAGTCCAAGTCGCAAAACTTTTATAAAGGTCTTGAGCCATTATATATGCTGATTTTGTTACAGAAAACATTTCATTTTTGATAGGTTTGTTTTATAAATATTTAATTATTTAAATGGTGTAAATGCATATTTGTTTGAGTATTTCCATGTTTAGACAAATTATATGATGCCACGTTAATTTACTGTAATAAAAAAAAATAAAATAAATTGCATTTTATTTCAAGTTTGAAATTAATACAAAAATATAATGAAGTAAAATCAAATAAAGATATAAATTGGCAAAATATTTGACTAGTTTCAAATCACAAAACAGTCAATATGGTTGTTTTATGATTTGAAACTAGTCAAATATTTTTCTAATTTTTTTGCTTTATTTGATTTTCTTCATTATATTTTTGCGCTAAGGTGAATTTTAACATGCCTTTAAAAATGATTATTATTAGAGGACTATCTTAAAGGAATTCGTTTAAATAATGACAGAAGTCAATTAGCGAATAGGAACATATTTTTAAAGGCTGCCAATATTTTAATGGCCGTTAAAATATAAAGGAATTGTTACAGAATAGACCCCAATGTCCGATAAAACACTGTCCAATTTTCCAGAGGCGTGCTCACCTACAGGACACTTCGATTAGTATTCGACACAAAAAAATCTACAAGTAGATTTTTGAATTTTTAATATATTTTTTATTTTCTTAAATTTTTTACGTATCTAACTTTGTATTCGAGGAAAAAATTTAGACTAACAATTTTGCACGTCTATGAATACCTGAATACTGTACATAAAAAAGAAAGCAAAATTGAATCACAGTTTATTAAATAAAGTACCTTTTCGATAAACTATCAACTGGTATAAACTGTCGTGTGTTGTAATTCAATAAATCTTTGTTTTGCCTAATCAAATAACAAATATACTTACTTGAGACTTTGGAACCTCTTCTAAAAGACTCGTATAATGTTTTTGCATCTGAATAGACATAACTGATGAATTTCCCTTCCTTCGCATGAGTGAAGAACCTCGATACTCGAATCAAATCCGGCCCCTGCAATAAAAAGCGAAATTAAAAAATAAATTAGGATACAAACGCAGTAAGAAAAATATAGATTTTTAACCCATTACCCCATATAATAATAAAAACTATGAAGCCTTTCATATATTATTTATGTAGGTAATTTTAAATACAAAAAATATTCAGTCACATCTTGGAATTTCCAAGAATATCATCCATGTATAAATGTCGTTCACATTTATTTCACATCGGGCTTAGCTATGAAAGTTTAGCACATTTCATTGTATATGTGTACCTCAGTCATCGTAGGCGGTTTGTCTGTAAGGGATGTAGGGCTACAGCCCCCAGTACAAGGGGAAAAATTTATTCAAATATAAAATGATAATATATTATGTATATTCTACATTAATTTATAACTTTCATATGGCTCCCTTGTTTTACTTGTTCCAATCATAATCTGGCAGTAGGTTCCGTCATTCAATATATTTTACGTTAGCTGATGTTGACAGGGCTAAAAAGTGTAGCGCTCTCAATCGTATCGAGCGGTCAGATCGGGCAACCGCGCTCGTATGTCTTTGATACGGAATTTTTACATGTAATAGGACTACGGAAATGTCCGCCTTGCTCCTGTGTGGACAATGTGCAGAGTGTAGATAGTGATTCTGTTTATTATCCTAGCTGTATTGCCAATGTCCAGATAATTTCGAGTAGGTACCATATGATAATGTTCGGATAATTCGGTGTTCTACAAAATGGAAAGTATATCTTATAATACTATGAATGTATGAAAGTATAAAATCATTTTAAATCAAATAAATATATTTTCTCTATAAAAAAATGTTTTATTTACCGAAAGTAATATGGATTTCTCCGACAGTATACATAAATGATTGCTCTGTTTGCAGCCAGCCCGTGTAGCGGTACAAAATAGTTTAAAAACACAATTTTTCGAGACTTTCGCTGGCTGAAAATGCGATATTAAATCTTTGGGAAGGCCTCCTCCCGATTTAAAACTTACTCAGACATACAACAGTTCAAAAGGTTCATATACAAGACGATTTGCAAGGACAGTGGATGTGTTTTAACGAATAGAGGACTTCTATACAAGGAAAGTGCAACCAACTTGACAAAATAAAATTGACATAAGAAATCGGGTCACATAAAGAGGCTGTTTTTTTTGGCCAAATTTTGGTTTTTCTTATCTACTTTTATGCCATTTACATACCATGTTGTACCCGTAACATAGAAAAGACTTTTTATTTTAGGGTATTTCATATTTAAAGATTGAAACATTTATCAATATCAGCTGTCGATAATGTCAAAACATAAACGTAGCATTGCGATTTATTTTTTATTGTTAATAGTCTATTTGTGTTTCTCTCAGTTTCTTTAAACATTTTTTTCATTTGGTTTTATATATTTAAGTCAAATGCAAAAATGCTGCTGCTACAAATATAAGTTACATACACTATACAACCACATACAATAACTAGTTACGTTATTCCCATCTATGGTTACGCCTGTGTTCTAGCAACAACATAATTGTCCTTTTTACCCTACGGGTACAACATGGTATGTAAATAGCATAAAAGTATATAAGAAAAACGAAAAAGTAAACTAAAAAACAGCCTCTTTATTTGACCCGATTTCTTATGTCATTAGTGTCAATTTTATTTTGTTAAGTTGGTTGCACTTCTCTTATATAGAAGTCCTCTATTAGAAGATGTATTACTTGTAAATAGCATTGACAATTTTGACGAAAAGTTCTAGAACACAAGTACTTAGGTTAGAATAAATAAATGCTTTGGTTAGTTTTGATAAATTTTCTAGTATGGTCATGGACGGACTTAACTATACTTGCCAAAATATTTATTTTAAATTTTTCATAATTTCTTTTGCTTGTAAATTAATACGATTTACGTTGTACAATAAAAAATAAAATTTAAATGCTCATTTCAAAAACAACAAGTAAAAAAAAGCAATTTTCAGTAGACACGAAAAACTTTTTTATACAAAAATTACATATCATATAAAAAAATTTTTTACTTCTATAATAATGTATTCAACTATATGAATAGAATAAAAGATCTAAAAAACCCAAGTTAAAGAAAAAATTAATATTTTTTGTTATTGACTTGTGTGGTGTTTAAACAAAAAATTTTTTATTCATCTTAAAAAACCGACTTTACGTGCAAAAACCACATGTCGTCATATTATATGGTATTTGTAAAGAATACAAAAAAATTAAAAAGGTTTATTTATCTAACGGTTAATGTGATTTTAATTAAACTATATGAAACTAATTTAATTAGAGTATTAACACTAAAATCTTAAAAGTGGCGACGAAGGCGAGGATAGGGCGTATGTCTTCCATACGAGAGGCCCGGGTTCAAATCTCGGCTGGGGACTAATTAAATTAAATCCTGTTTTTCTATATTTATTTTATTTTATAAATTAGTAAAAGTCATAAATTACTTTTAAATTAGTTATTTTGTCTTAATAATATAAAATCTTTTTTTAAATTTATAGATTTTTGTTAGTGGGTAGTTGAAAAAATATACTGTACAGCTCGAGAAGATGTCCATATCGTACTCTGATGATTGAGCACTCCGCCTACCTCGATATGGCCATAATATTCACTATTGTTGCACTACTATTTCTAGTGTCCGACCGAAGGTTCGGTTTCGGTTACGGTTTCGGCCAATTTCGACTGTAGTTTTGGTTTCGACTGATAACTGGCAACACTGCAGCCGTAACCGAAACGGTTTTCGAGAGTTTTCGCATCAAGCTTGGTAGCGTTCGGCACAATGGCGACAATGCACGTGCACACAAACTTCTTTGCTGTGTTCTAAGTGAACAAGTCAATTTATTAGGTGAAAACGTGGAAAAATTATTATTTCTAGCCTACAAATTAGACTGTTTAATTATGAATATTAACTTAATTATAAGTAACAAACATATTTTATCAGCTGTATTCGTTTTTTTTTTTAATAAAAACAAATAACTACGTAATTATAATACCTATTATATTATTATTTTTTGTTACAAAACATTCATTACAGATGTAGCATCGATTGCTACTTTGTAATTCACTTACTTTTTTATTTATCAAAAAGTATTAAAAAATTAAACTGTCAATTAATTAATTGGTTTTTTGATCACATACATAAATAGGTAAGTGTAGCTAAAATTTACAATATGAGTTAATTAGTCTAAAACTAGGATTACAATTGTAACAATTTAAAAGTTCCTTTTAAAAATGTTATTTTGAATGTATGACATCCTTATAAAAATAATATTCGAATAATTTAAAATTTAATTATCGCCGTACGCAATAATTCTTAAGAAAGGGAAATTTCGCGAAGTGTCTTTGGCTGCAAATAGCGGTAAGTTATTAATGTCATTAAAAAAATATCTCAGTAGAAATTATATTTTTATTTTTTGTTTGTTATAAGTTTATTTTTTGAAAGTCAAGTTAAATTTATTCAATATGGTTTAGTAATTTCTTTTGTGTTGCTGGCATTACACATTGTATTAATTATTATTGTTGGAAATTTTTAAAAAGAAGTTGTTTAAAAGTTTGATTTATATCTCATACAAGAGCCTCGTGAAAAACAGGATTTATTTTGTTTAGGTAGCGAATACAAGCAGTTTCCCTACAATTTCTTTTTCATGTTTTACATTGGAAAGTAAAAAAATAGACATCACATTTTTTACAAAGCAGAGCAGTATTGATTTACCGGAAAATTGAGTTTGGTGTTGGGGCTCGTGGAGCTAGAAAATAAATGCAGACTGCTGCTGCATCAGATATAAATAATTTATGTTATTGACTATAGTTAATTCTTGGTCAAAATTGCATTTACACAATTACTAAAATAAACAAATTCATTTATATATCTTGTTGAATCTTATTTTTAAAGCTTACAACATTTCTCTTTTTACTTAAATTATATATAAGTTTGAATTAATTTTCTTTTTGATAAAATTAAAGTTTATAATTCTTACTAGCTTCCTAAAAAAATGAATTATTGACGCCCTTTTCTTTCGTGAAAACTATTTCCCCAAAAGTGTCTATTAGAAAAGCCGAATTCACGACTGAGAAAACCGTATGGTCAATGTGTTCATTTTTTTTTATTTGATTAATGGTAAGTAATGGTTGATATCAAATATCTAAGAGCTAGTCAAAATTTAGTGTTTTTAAAGTTAACGAATTGTATTGCAAATTAAGGCCAACTTATTACACAAGAAATTGCACATTTCAATTAGATATTGCCTTAAATATATTGCCTTTCTGTTTCGGCCAAAACTAAGAAAGGAGCCGAAATTCGATTTCTGTTTCTCTTATAAAACCTTGTTTCGGTTGGACACTAATTATTTTCTTTTCCTTGTAATTGTAAATTAAGCGAGTTATAATGGCCAATAAAATCCGTAGGAAATGCAATTTTTGTTTTACTCATACTGGATCTTCCGATTGTTCATGTTTTTCTCCCAATGTGTCCAAACATGAAACAATTTCAGATTTGAAATTAACCTAGTAAATTATTTAAAATATGCGATCGACTGTCGAACTGTTTCTAAATAAAATTTGAACAATAATATGAATATTTTCTACTTTTGTTATATTTACCATAATACTCCAAATACAACAATATTAGGCGTAAAGTGTGAATTAAACCGAAATATTAAATTAAACTAAGCAAAGGGTAGTTTTTGGTTTGTCATGGTAACTGACTAAAAACAAGCTTCTAATTGACGTTCAATTTTCAATGATGAAATTACTTTCGCGGTATTTATTTTTACCTGTATATTGCAGTTTAGACTTTTGCCTGATATTTTTATTATTTGCTGAGAAAAACACATTTTACTTTAACTCATTTATTATGTTATGTTACAAAAAAAATTAGATGCTGCAGGATAATTTTCGTTTTGGGCGACAGCCAAAAATAAGCTACCCAACCTTAATATTGTATGTCTTTTAGGATCGATATTAAGAAAATATTTTATAGCTATTCTTAGTTTTTTTAATGGTCAAA